TTTTGGAAACTGTATATCTGTGTTTAAATAATTATTTCTCACAAATAGGAAGTGATATTTAAGAAATTATTTCTCTAACATGTCTTTATACATGTTTAGATACTTCTAAAACTTTTTCATAATTTTTAGAATTGATTTACTATTTTTAATTTATTTTATAAAGACAGATACGCAAATTTTCAGAATGCTGGATTTTGGGGTATTTTGGTCTTTTCACTCTATAACGGCTAGTAACGGGTAGAAACGGCTAGTTTTGATTTTTGGGTGTTTTTTGCTGGTTTAAGAGGCTATAAAAAGCATTCAACTTCTATTGTTTCTTTTGGATGTTTAAGAAAAAAGTTTCAAAGAGTTTTTACAAGTTTGTTTAAGGGTTTCAAGTTTGTTTCAAGTTTCAAGTTTGTGAAGAAATTTTCACAAGAGCTAGAGAAGATCATTCATTGGTGTTTGAGCATTCAACTCTTCTCCTTCTCTCTCTTGTCATCATAGAGAAGTTTTTCTAAACTCTTATCTACCTTTTTATATTGCTTGATTTTCATATCCATAAGCTAGAATTTATTTGAGTTTAGATTTGTTTTGATTTGTACTCATTGTTACACACACCCACTTGAGCTTATAGTATTTGCATACATAGTATATTTGGGGTTGTGAGAGATAGTAACATTAAGTTGAGCCTAATTGAGTTCTCACCTTATTAAGAGAACAATTATTTGTTGTGTGCCTAATTATGAAGTTCACTTTGTAATATACTTGTACACCGAGAGGAGTGTGTGGTGAGGACGGAGTCGATACCGAGAGGAGTGGCGTCGGTGACCTAGTGACAGGTGATAATTCCGAGCACTTGGGGGAGTCGATACGTGAGGACCAACACTTGAGGTTGTAGCTTGTGTATGTACATTGTGAGGATTTGTGAGAGTTGTCGGTTGACTTGATAACCGAGTGTGTAGAAAAGTTCCGGCTTCCAAACCGGGTTATGTAGTGGATTCTCCTCGAGAGTGGGGAGCGGGGACGTAGGACGGAAGGTCCGAACCTCGTGAACATATAGCGTGTTTGGTTTGCATTGGCGCACTTATAATTGTTCATCTTATAGCCTATTGCATCTTGTTTATATTGTCCACTAGTTTGTTTCACCCTTGTGATAGTTTAAATATATCCTTGCATATACCATATAATATATCTCATTGCTAGGATATATCACCTTAGTTATATTGCTTATTCTTACTCATATCATATTATATATCTATCTTGCAAGAATAATTTGTTAATAAGTTTTATATTGGCATAAAATCAGATTAGATTAGCATAAGACCCTAATCACCCCCCCCCTCTATCTTTACGAGTTTTATGACTATCACATTGTATATCTATCTTTACGAGTTTTATGACTCAGAACGAGTGCAAAACTCTGTTAAAAGAGTTGTTTTAACAGAATAATCGGTTAATACGCCGAGTATATGAATTCTTTCATTGCTGAAGAATGCCTTCCAAACCCCAGCCCTTGATCTGGACTTTTGTAAGTTTGATCTCCCAAGACCCTAGCGGAAAGAATCCTCCTCAGATCATAAAAAAATCTGATCCCTTCACTCTGTGGAGTTTGTTAGGATTTATAGAGAGATTAGGGGTATAACTGCCCCCTTAATCCGCTCCTAAATGAGGGTTTAGTAACCATATTAATCGGGTGTAACAACCCACTCGAACCACTCCCCAGATCATGGGTGAAAAACGGTTTTGGGAACTGTTCAACTCGTGTTTGAACGAGTCAAACGTAGGTCTTGCATTCTGGAATGAAATCTGCATTTGAACACAGTGTTTGCAAGCTGCGTTAGGCAAAAGATGGAACTTGCGTTGGTAGCTGTTAGAAGCTGCGTTGGAAGCAGTTAGATGCTGCGTTTGGCAGCGGTTGAAAGCTGTGTTTTACAGCATTTAGGAGCTGCGTTTGGCAGCGAATGGAAGCTGTGTTTGCAGCATTTAGGAGCTGTGTTTGCATAGCTTTGACTCTGGAATGAGGCCACTTGTGCTTCACCTCTGGGATGCAAGGATGAGTCCTGCGTTTTGGATTGAAGAGATCGTTGACTTGTAATCTCTTCTGTCAGAACGTCGCGACGATCGTTGTTTTGTAATCTTCACTTTAGCTCTTTGAAATGTGAGAGTCGTCAGATTACAACTCTCATTATTGGTTGTGAAGACCATTGATCAGAGCTTTCATCGATTATCGTGAAGGTCATTGATTTGTAACATTCATCGATCTACGTGAAAGTTTTTAAATTGTAGCCTTCTGGAAGTCGTTGAATTGTAACCTCCATTGTTGATGTTTGATGGGGATAAGCTATTTAAATTGTAGCCTTCTGGAAGTCGTTGAATTGTAACCTCCATTGTTGATGTTTGATGGGGATAAGCTATCTGTTGTGATTTTTGAATTGTAACCTCCATTGTTGATGTTTGATGGGGATAAGCTATCTGTTGTGATTTTTAGACAGCCTACAAGAGGTTGTAATTCCTAACACTTGAGGGAGACACAGGCTAGAGACCAACACTTAAAGTGGTAGTTAGTGTGTTTACATTGTGAGTGATTATAAACGTTGATCGGTGAGCGTTGAAAACCGATATTGTAAGGTGTAAACATTTTTGGGTGAATGTTGAAAACCCGGTGTGATAGTGGATTTCTCCTCGAGAGTGGAGAGCGGAGACGTAGGACGGAAGGTCCGAACTCCATGATCATATTGTGTGTTTGCATTGTTTATTTGCGCACTATCACTCTTGTTTTGCTTATTGTTTATTTTACCCTTGTGTTAGTTTATATATCCTTGCTCATATCTTGTTGAATATCATTCTTGCTTTGTGTTAGTTTATATATCCTTGCTCATATCTTGTTGAATATCATTCTTGCTAGGATATATTATTAATTAGTTTTAAATTTTGAATATCATTCTTGCTAGGATATATTATTAATTAGTTTTAAATTAGCATAAATCGGATTAGATTAGCACTTTGCCCTATTCACCCCCACCCCCTAGGGCACTTTCAATTGGTATCAGAGCACTTTCAAAGCAAGCGCACCTCGCCTAAATGGACAAGTGGCTTGAGCTCGCCAGGAATTGGCTGAAGCTCGCCTGAACTCGTGACCTCACCTGTCAAGGAGAGGTCGCCTGAATTCAATACTTAGGGAATTTGTCGAGTGTTCTCACTTAAGTTCTTTTGAACTTTCTTCATCCAATTGCACCCTCGGTCCTTTTGACACTAGGGCTTGTCACTATCGGCCTACGGGGGATCTCCAGGATCATCTGATTCGTAAGTGCACCATTCACAAGGCCAATCCTCGGTGCCACTATGAGAAGCTCATTCAGGTGGTGCTTGCTGATTTGCCAGTGTATCGAGTCACCTAAACCATAGGTGTTCGAGAGGCTCTCTCAATAGCCAAAGCCACCTCGCAAAAGACGCAATCGTCAGAAGAAGCGAGTTGTTGATGACTTAGAGCTCCTGACAGCCATGATCAACATGGCAGGGAAAGACAAATCCAAATATTCGGATTCGTTCCATCTGGAGTTTTCCCAGGATTCAGTTGGCCCCCTGTTGAAAATGAAGGCGTGTACCTACGCACCCGCCTTCAAACAGGAGCTGCCATCCCACTTGATTATAACTGCTTGTTCCCCGTCTACAACAAAGATGACGAGGTGTGCTCGGTGGAAGCAACATCTTAGACTTCAAGTTCAGCTTATGGCAAGCACGCAAGGGTGAACATGGCAGAAATCCCCGAGGATGTCGCCAGAAAGTTTGAATAGCAACAAACCACCATCAACTCTCTGAAGGAAATGATGGAACAACTTCTGAAAAAGAAGAAAAAGAGGGCTTTACGAAACCGGCGAAGACCTTCTAGGACCAGAGAACGGGAGACTACTCCTCCTAACTCAACTGGAGGGGAAGATAATCGTGGATCACATTCGGATTATTCCAACAAGTCTTCAGGAAGAGTGTCACATGTTGGCAGCACTCCCCGAGATAGGAGGTCCGATGAGTTCCATAGTCAGCTCAACGCCCTCAAGCTCCAGAAGAGCATGAATGAGCTGGGGGTGGTCAGACCATATCCAGTCGAATGGGATACAATCATCTACCCGACGAAGTTCAAACCAATAAGCTTGGCCCAATTCGATGGCAAGGGCTCTCCCTCGCAGCATATCTACTATTTCCTGTCACAAACAGGATTCCTCACCGGGAATGATGCCAAATCTTTGGACAAATAATTATTAATCAATAAAATTCAAATAATGACAAATCTCATATCAAGATATCTAGTACAACATTATAACTTGAGAACTGTAGTCACTCCAGCTAGCTACTTTGAATGTCAACGTTCTCGTTTCCTTATATGATTTCTTGTGACATCATAATGAAAATAAAACTACACAGTGACAGGAACCGACAACTTATAGCTGTAATTAACAAGATGATGCTCATTTGAACATATTAACTGTATTAATATGAATATCATAAATTTGACCTATTATTTCACATTTCTTTCTAGGGGGGAAAACTGAACTCATAGGGCAAACTGGTGATATTTCAGCGCAAGGAAGCTCAAACAACTTCCAAAAGGATCAGCATCAAACCTGAAGAAAACTTTAGAGATACAAGAAAAATCACCATAAAGTTGTGATGCCACGACAAAAACTGCTCCAAAACAGGGAACAGACCAATACAGGGAACTGTGAGACATAACTGAGGCCCATGCGTACACTTCTTTCTCCATTTAACATTATTCTGTCATAGATACGACTGAAATGGTAATCACCTGAGTTTGAATAAGGAAATTCTGGCTTCATTTCTAATATTTCTGAAGTAAAACACAAGCAAGAACAATGCGTAAAAAGAGCAATCACGTAAAATCAGAATTAATTAGCAATCTACCAGCTTGACGAAAAACACAAGCAATTCCTACTCCCAGAGAGCCTAGCTGCATAAAAATATGTACTCATCGACCTACTGGTATAATCGCCCAAATTCCCAAATATTCACGCAGCCGATCGGATCCTATCAGCTTCAGGCAACCACTGTATAAAAAAGGAAAACTGAAACTTTATACCCCCAATATACACAACGCAACAGACTTAACAACTCCATTATTTTTTTCTATAATGTATCACAGCAGTTTCTATAATAGCTTATGCATATGGGGTCTTTCACGCTATACATTTTCCCTTCTGCATTTCACTTTAACCCTCCTTCCAATATCTATAAATATATAACTTCATTATGAACACATATACTACCTCTTCATGCCATCTCTTTTCTCAGATCAACGACGATAACGCTGATATTATCTTCACTGTTCCTCGCGAGTGCAAGCCTAGCAAGCAAAGCAGCTGCAAGATCGCACTGAGACTGAGAAGGATATTCCTTCTTTTTCTCCTTTGCACTGTCGCTACTCCCTTCTATTGCTTTACCCTTGCCTTTGTCCTTGTTGTGTTCTTCATCGCCGTCTGGGTCTCCGTCCTGAAGAACACGACGCTTTACCCTTGCCTTTGTCCTTGTTGTGTTCTTCATCGCCGTCTGGGTCTCCGTCCTGAAGAACACGACGAGCTAAATTGCACGCCGTCGCATTGGACATAACATCCCACAGCCCGTCGCTGGCGATCACCAAACATTCATCTTTCGGGTTTCTGTCCATGATGCGGATCTCGGGTTCGGAAATCACGACCGGTTTGAGAGACATGTCTCCTGTAAAAAGGTAAAAGTAGCGATGAAAGTGTTTTGGTTGTTAAACATAAGTATATGAAAAAGTAAATGCATAAATGTTAAATTTCTGCACAGAGATTGCATAAATATAAGGTCATGAATTTGCCAACCATTGTTCTGATAAAAAGTAGTTAAAGTTAAATTTCAAAAAAATAACCCAAAAAACTTTAGGACATTTCCCACAACCAGCAACAACACACACACCCCATCCCCGCATGCCCCCCAAAAAACAAAAACAAAAACCAAAACAAACAAACAAACAAAATCTTTGTTTATTCTAGTAAAACCCAAAACTTTTCCTAGCTTCTAATATAAGCGACTCGTTGTACTATGAGGTATCGGACATGTGAGCCATCTTTGAATTTTTTGTTCTCAACAATAGCTGCAAAGCTCCTATACAATCATATCGGTTTGGTCTAGACCATATGCTGAGGGGGAGGGGGGCAGAAAAACTTTATCCAGATTAAAGGCCTCCCTGGCAACTAAAACATATATTGGTTTGGAGGAACAAAACCAACTCCGGGCCTTGGTTTAAAAAAAAACTGGACTCGACTTAAATTGGCTATTTGCTAGGCCAATTTTTGGCCTTAAAATAGTTTAGTTCTGGACCAAGGAGAGGTGGTCTAGAATTAAACTGGTTTATGCTAAAACTGAGGGTTGCCAAACTTACACTATTGTTCATCAAAAGACGACAAAAAGTGAAATTTCCTGGCAAACTAAAGGATAACACTTCGAAGAACACTATTGTTCATCAAAAGACGACAAAAAGTGAAATTTCCTGGCAAACTAAAGGATAACACTTCGAAGACCTACACAGCGAAGAAACTCAAATTTGAAAAATGCAAGTGCAATAACTCACCAAAGGCTTTAAAGAGCTATCTGTTGTGCGTAGCGGAAATTTCGGCAGCACAACTGGTGCATAACAAGAGAGTAGATCTCAACTAAATCCCTGTTTCACAAAGGAAACAAGAACCAAAAGTGATATATCTCAACAAAGTGGGATATACACTCTTCCTCTCATCAGTTCTAGGACTGACTTGTCGAGGGAACCTAAACAAGCTATTACAAATCACAGCAAGATAACAAATTTTACGTGGTTCGACAAGTTGTCTACGTCCACGAGGTAAGGAGGGGGGAGATCTACTATTAGAGAGAGAATACAAATAGAATTTACAATCATACAAATTAAACTCTCAAACAAGTTCTCAAATCTCACAAAAATATCTCCCTCAAAAGGATGCTCAAACTCTAAAAACAGATGCACAAAACTCCTCTTCAAAACAGCAGCTATCCTCTGCGTTTTCACCAAGCCCAGCCACAAAACCTTCTGCGATTTTCCCCTGCCTTGCACCAAACCCAAGAAAAAAAATATGCGTTTGTATTTATAGGAAAAGAAAACACGTTTCGTGAACGTGTTAGTTGAAGAATTGGTGTGGCCCCCAGCCGCCAAAACGTGTCTCGTGACGCGTCCCCACGATGAAAACGCAGTGGGGGATTGCGTGCTCGTGGGTGTGGCCCCCACGCCCCCACGCATTCACACTATCCGCATTTGGCTAAACAAAGTGACAAATGAAGAAGGGCAATGAAAAAAAGGATCCAAGGCTTGAAGCAAATCAGAATGAGTTAGCGCCAGAGCGCAAAGTTTCTAATGTAGCAGGTTAAATTGAAAGAACAAGTAAAAGACGTATTCAAAGGACTAAGCTCTTCGAAGTTTTCATAACTTAAAAAACGAGTTTGACTTGTAATACAACGAGCTACTGTTGAGGTTCCGTTTAACTTTGGACTTGTACTAAAGATTAGCATCAACTCATAATCGTTGCAAACCTCTTAAATATCAATACTTAGCCATAAATGCCTTAAATCTCTATCACTTTGAACAGCCAGTTAGAACCGACTATAAGGAGTCATGTGTTAAGTGAGGAATGTGTCGTAAGAAAAAAGCCAATAAGAATTTAGAGAAAAGTGTGTGATGAAAAATAAAATAAAGGAAACGCGGGGTGTTACTGTAAATGAAAAATAATAAAATGTTTATTACCCTACCTCATTAGTTCCACTCCAATCATACTACACTAAATAGTAAATGGAATTAGATATGTCGCCCATCACAGTGAGATCAACATGCTAAATAACGGTCGAAGAATGCACACACCAACTTAATTTTATATAAAACACATGTAGCTCCTTACTTGTGTAGAAAACTTTTAGAAGTCTTTCAGTCCACCGTCAATAATATTTCTTTTGATCCTCTTATATGTGCTCAAATAGTTTTGGCAACTATCCTTATTCGACATTCTTAAATTTAGTTCCTCTAACCATTATACCAAAACTCCAAAGTTATGGTAAGAATCAAGAATTATAGTTTTATATTAACTATAACATGCCCCCACAGGTCGAGTGCCCTTTTTATGGGTCGAAATCTGGACTCACGTAGTTGTGTCCATTTTTAGAAAATCCGCATTTAATTTGTGGCCGGTGGGATTCTACGTTACATGGACTCGGGTACGAGTATCCGATACGGGTGCGGATCCGAGTGTCCGATATGAAATTTCTAAAAATTTTGGATATGGGGACACCGTCCTAAATTTGGACATGGGTACGGGGATACGGCAATAAAAAAATATTACAAGCATTCCTCAAAATATTACAAGTATATTGTTGAAATGGAAGGTAAATATTACAAGTATGCAAAATATACCCAAATTTTTATTTACAAATGTTACACATACAAATGCTACCCATATAAATATTACAAGGTAAATATTACAAGTTTTATTTACAAATTTTTTATTTACAAATTTTACCCATATAAATGCTACCCATACAAAATGTTACAAGTATATAATTTTTTATTTACAAAGACTACCCATATAAATAGGTTCTAGGGCTAGGGTTCCCACATTTTCCTTTTTTCCCTGTGCTCCTTTCCGCTGCCTCCTTCAGATCCAAGGATCGTCTCCTCTTTCCTCACTCTTTCATCTCTCTCCTCCTCCGGATCTCACTCCAAATTGATGATTCTAGGGCTCCTTCCTCTCTCCTCCTCCAGATCTCGCTCCAGATCTTATTGTTCTCCCGCGAAGCTCATCTCCCCTCAAATCTCGTCGCCGAATCCTCCCTGGAATCTCGTCGCCGGCTCCTCCCTCGTAGCTCGTCATCCCTTGAAGCTCGTCGTCCCTAGAAGATTGTCGTTTACTCCTTCCTCGACTGTCTTCCCTATTTTCAAGCGAATTTGGTATGTAATTTCATCTTTTCTTTCTCTATTTTTTGGTTTTTCGATTCACAAACCTCATCGTATACGAGGCCAACCACCGTATCCGACCCGTATTTCGTACCCGGATAGGTGTCGGGTCGTATCGACGCTGGTACGACGGCCAAACCGCCGTGTCCGAGTAACGTAGGGTGGGATTTGAACCTGAGTTGCTCTGATACCATCTTAAATTTAGTTTCTCTAACTATTACACTAAAACTCCGAAGTTATGGTGAGGATCAAGGATTATAGTTTTATATTAATTATAACAGACATCATCCCTAATCATCTTTTTATAGTGACCAGTTCTCATGTGAACATGAAGAATGGATAGGTGTGTTGTTGGCTAATGGTTGGTGAAGCAGTATTGTATCTAATCTCATGCACACACACTAAAATTAATGAGGAAAATCCAAATTTTATTTTGCTTCTTCATATTTAAGATCTAACAATTATCAAATTAGGCTTGAAGATGACAAATTGTGTTATACCCTCGCCACTACTTTGGAGTTGTGGGGTAGATGCAAGGACCATGTACATGGTATCTAGCAACCAGGGTTCGAATTTACTGCCCACAAATTCCAAAACAGATTTTAAAAAAGACATGGCTTTGCGAGTCCAGGTTTCTGACCGTGAAAGGGCCCTTAACTTGCAGGAGGCATGTTAGACTATAAAATTATAATCTACAAGCCTTACTACCTGAGCCTCACAATAGCTCTTGAACTCCTTGTATGTCTTCTTGATCGGATCTTAAGGCCTTTATTTTGTACCTTTTGTTTTTCGACAAACATTTTGAGCTTCTTGAAAGCTTAGAAAACTTTAAATCTTTTCACTTAAGAAATACACCTAAATCTTTCTACTAGAAGTATCTATAAAAATGTGGACCTGGTCGAGCGACGGTGTGACCATACAGTGTTGGCTCGAACTATAAAGTGATAGTGGTGCCGCGGTGTGGATCTGGTCTAGCGATGGTGTTGATCTGGTCTAGCGACGGTGCAACGGTGCAGTGTTGACTTAAACATTCAAGTGGTGGTGGTGCTAGCTCGACTGGGCGGTGGCTGGCGGTGGATGAGCGTCAAGTGGCGGTGGGCTAGGGTTTTGGATGCGGTAAGGTTTGGGCTGTCGACAGTGAGCTGGCTATTGGAAATACTATCAAGGTCGAAATTAGTATCGAGACAGTGAGGTTCAGGATGAACAGTAACTCGAATAGGACAATAGTCTGTGGGTGAATAGTACCCCAGGGTGAACAATGTCGTTCGAAAAAGGTTAGGGCAAGGGTTTTGTAGTGAGCAGAGGACAGTGAGAGGTTGTAAGCGATAGGGCGGTACGTCAAGATTATATCGGTTGTCGAGGTTGATGAGGTTGAGGTCTTTGATGATGGGCAACCATTAGAGGGGTAGTGGGTGTCTAGATCGGCGAGATTGAGGTCGAGCAGAGTCATCGAGATTGAGTCATGGGCCGTCTATCGCTGACGGACTGGGCTGAGAGGATTTTGGAAATGGGCAGCAGATCAGGTCATAGCCGAGGTTGAGGACAAAAAAGTGGTATCGTTGAGGTTGTCATAGGTGAAGAATCTCAGCCGGATGATGACGTCGACATGGATGACATTGAGGTCGACTGTCGGTAGTGTTGAGAATGATGTTGAGGGATGGTATGGGCAGTAGAGCTAGGATTAGGGTCCCTACGGTGTGGAAGGCAGTGTTTGAGCGCGATCCCTAGATGCTCAGGTCACAAAAGGCACAGGAGTTTGAATCTAGTATTGAGGTTGCCGAGGAGAAGTAGAGAGTTTCTGACAAAACCCCCTTGGCAACTCGATGTAGAGGAAGAAGAAAGAGGTCTATTTGGGATCAAAAGGATGGCTCTAATACCATGTTAAGAATAGAGCCTTTGGAAGAAAAGAGACTTAAGAAAGAGAAGGGACTTGTTTTATTCATTGTATTGTACTTCTTAAATACAAGAGTAAAAGGAGTAAATCGATGTATGACTAAAATAAAGGAAAGCAGTTACCCTAATGCTACTATATCTAACTGTGGGGTAGATGCAAGGACCATGTGCATGGTATCTAGCAACCGGGGTTCGAATTTACTACCACAAATTCCAAAGCAGATTTTAAAGAAGACATCACTTTGTGAGTCCATGTTTCGGACCGTGAAAGGGCCCTCAACTTGTAGGAGGCATGTTAGACAATAAAATTATAATCTTCAACCCTCACTACCTGAGCCTCACAATAGCTCTTGAACTCCTTGGATGTTTTCTTGATCGGATCTTAAAGCCTTGCTTTTGTACATTTTGTTTTTCAACAAACATCTTGAGCTTCTTGAAAGCATAGAAAACTTTCAATCTTTTGTCTTAAAAAATACACCTAAATCTTTCTACTAGTAGTATATATAAAAATGAGATTACCAACTAACCCAAAGTTATTATGTTATTCTCCATTTTCGTCACATAATAAAATATTGGAAATAACTTGTTGATTTCCATTTCTGGCACATAATTGCTCTAGGTAATTGCTTTGTATGCTCAATTGTTGGAAGTCTTTTCACCATCTGTTTCTTTGACAATAGTTATGCGATCAGAAAAGTTAATATCATCACCATGTAGTTTAACATTTTGTGCACTTTACAAAAGCATTTTGAATTTTCAATGAAATGTTCTATTATTTCATCTGTCTACTTTGGTTTCTTGTAAAAAAACTATAACTTTTCATGTGAATATGATGGCCATTTCATGAGTTTCCCAAATTTAACATATTAAACTTCATTTTATATACATAATAAATTTTGGAAACAAATTGTTGATTTCCATTCTTCAAGCGATTAAGATCTTATATATCCATCTTAGGAAATTTTAGAGACCAAATATATAATAGCTAATTACGATTCATTAAGCCATGCAAACATACTTTTTTGCTTACATATGATTCTTGGTCCAGTACAAAGGAACCAAAATTTCTTTTTCTTTTTTGCCAACAAGACAGTGAGTACTGGATCGACATATCTCCTCCAAACATAATTGACATCAGCATCCTATTTAACATGGTTAGTATCATCTTATCTATACTCTTAAGCAAAAACAATCATATTTCTTACAATTGAAGTATTGGATCATCTTCCTTGACCTCTACATGTTGACTTGCCTCTTCTTTTTTCATTCTTCGTGAAGAGTTTTGTTTGCCAAGCTTTCTCTATTTGATCTTGAATTTTTCTATACCTTGACCTTCTTATAAAACTCCTCTTCCTTGTCCTCTTGTTAGTAGTACCTATAGTTTTTTTTTCACATTGAAGTGATATTATCCGTCTCACCATCCGTGATGCCGACCTTGTTTCAATCTTCCTTGACCTCTTTGAGTTGATTTGCTTCTTCTTCTTTCCTTTTTCATGGAGAGCTTTGTTTGAGAAGTCTACTCCATTGGATCTTGATTCTTATTCTTAATATGCTTTGATCTAAGAATTTTCCAATGCTCGTGAGATATACCACTCCCTTGTTATATATAACCCTTTAAACTTTTCTTTAATGTGCTTCGTCTTGGAGTATGCCAATGCTCATGACTTATACCACTACATTCTTTGCTACAACCATAATTTGGATCCAATGATCTTAAAAAGTCTTTTATGACCCGAAAATCCTTTAACTCCTCCATTTCTTCTTAATTGATTTAACAATATCCAACATTCTTGTAGAATAGGAGAAATTGATTCAACTCTTTCCTTTGTACTCTTCGACCTCACCACTTTTTTTTTGAAGATCGAATTCTCTTGGACTTCTTGAGTCCTTTATAAGAATTTGAAGAATACCCTAAGCTTTTTTTTTGAAGATCGAATTCTCTTGGACTTCTTGAGTCCTTTATAAGAATTTGAAGAATACCCTAAGCTTTCTTTGTAGTAAGTTGGCGCTCTTGGACTTCTTGAGTCCTTTATAAGAATTTGAAGAATACCCTAAGCTTTCTTTGTAGTAAGTTGGCGATCTTCATGAAGATGGTGTCATCCAAAGCTTGTCAAATGATGGAGGGCGCTAATTGATCTATTCTTCTTGCAACTTGTAACTCTCCCCTTAAATTCTGTATTAATGTAGCTACATCTTGGAGCTCCCAGTAGCCTTTCTTAAAGATCTCCCATGCTTCCTTCGATTCAAGCACCACCTTCATCCAAGTGCACCAATTTAATAGTTATCGTTGGAGAACTTAGAAACTCAAAACATGATCATGTTTCTTACCATATTTTACCAAGGCTCTAATAACAATTTAGAATCTCAAGAGGGTGTTTTATGGTTGACTAATCACCTTATGGAGAGCATTCATTTTAAAGTGGAAACAATATTGACTCTCTTTATTGAAAAATCTTCTTCAACAGCTTGCCACTTTAGAAGGACCCGCTTACTATGTTTTATCATAGGCTTCATGCAATCAAAGCACTATCTTCATCTAAGTAACAAGAGATCATAGTTACCCTTAGAAAATTTATGAACTTCAATGGGGTTAATCTTGCTTGCCATATTTACTATTACTAGGATGCCTAATATGTTGGAATTTGAAGAGACTATTCTATAGTGGATGAATTATTTTATAGAAGAGATACTTGTAATGGAATTACATGTTGGACATAATATTAAGGGAAAAATCACTTTGTCAAGAGTTTTACTTCTATGACTTATAACTTCAAAAGAACTCTCTCAATGGATGAGGAAACATGAGATTTAATCAACTTATGAAGATATTAGATTTGTTAATTTTCATGTCAAGAGCATCTCCTTGTATGTTAATTTGTTAAAAATTTTCCTTCCAAGAATTCTCTCAAGAGGTCTTTCAACAAACATCTAATTTCATGTGATATTTCAAAAAATTGTACAAAAATTCAAAAAGTCTTAGATCAAGATATTGATGATTATACTTTTGACTCTCTACACTTCACTTCTTATATAGTCTTTCAAATATAATCCTGAAGATTTAGCTTTTAAAATCACACGCACTAGTTTATGTCAAACAATGTTTTAAAAAAAACGTAAAAGCATTTGTTCTTTACCATTTTATGTAAATACTTAGTTTCCAAGTATGCAATAACACTTAGTTTTTGGCTAATCTTTATAGTTTCTTAATAGTTGTAAAAACTTATCTTTTTCTTACTTTCATCTAAGCTCTTTCCAAAAATGACATTTATTTCTTATAAGTTTGATTATGTACATAAACGCATATTTAAATGAGCGTTACATTAATTTCACATTACGTTTTTTGCAGTAAAAGTTCACTCAGTTAAATTAGGTTTAAAACTATTAACAAATCCAACCAAATTAGAGTTTACCCGAAAAAGAAAGAAAAATAACATTTTTAAGATTTTTAATCTTACTGCATGCACCAAAAGAGATTGCCTCATATCTAGCTTGAGCGTTTGCGCTAGAAAGGGAACCCAAAATAGATCATCATTCACTAAATCACTATCAAATAAACGGATTCAGATCCTCTTCACTACCAAAAAAGTAGTGGATGGACCACTATATAATCACACTCATTAATTTTCTAATGTATGGTTCTGATTTTGAGTGCAAATTAAAGAATGAGTATAATCCATGATGGTATGATGAGTGTCAGATTTAGAATAAACCACAATCACCCAATAGATAATCAATGATTGTGATTAAAAGTAGTGATCTCTCCACTACTTTAAGTAGACTATGCTATGAAAACAACATCACCTTATCTAGCATGATATATATCCCAATCATGAATCCTTCTCCATAATAAATTTAGCACAAATATTTCCAAAAACTACAAGATAATGTGTAAACTTAATTAAGAAAACCAACAATAGGCATAGAATTATGTGATTTTCTCTAACAATTAGGATTAGGAAAGAAATGAGCAAACCTAAAGCCCGAGACATTGCCAGGATCCCGCAGACTCGAGCACCATTCAAGTAGAGCACCCATCCACCTGCTGACCTTATTCTTGCCATCTCATTGGGTCTATCGGGCTGTTGTCAAATTTAAGTTTTGTTGCATATCAGAAATCTTGCAATTGGATAAACATCATAGCTAATTATTAACTTGTTCTATTTATGTGAATAACACATGCATAATGTTTATCCAAAAACATCAAGACAAAATAATGTAAAGTTTAGTACATTGAATTATAAAATGTGTAACTTTGAGAACATTCAAAAGGTGAGTTCCTTTGCAATACAGAGTTGCACCACGTAAGAGTCTTTAAAGTGTGATTTTAGTTCATTAACAAGGTCAAGTTCATAATTTGCGCAAGCAACCCTTCAAATAATTGACAAAATAGGATATATCATTTATTTTCAAACCATTCACTTTCGAATTCCCTCATAAAGCCAATACAAAAATGAATTTCTCTCAGGCATTTCCTCAAAGAAATGCCTGAGAGAAAAACACCAACCTTCCAAACTCTAGCATACACAACCACAACACATTGCAACTAACGACATCTCTCAGAAATGGGCACTATGCAAAAACCCTGCTATAACTTTCCACCTCATAACAATCACTATAAAAAACAAATCAAACTATTGCTAGTGTAGAAATTCAATAAAACCCAAATTTCACAAGATGCGTATGAACCTCCAAATCTTCAATCACCAAAAAAAAAGAAAAAAAAGAATCAAATGTGTAAGTGTTGTTATTGGTGGGTATCCAGCTTTAATGAGGGTTTTGGTTTTTTTGAGGCATCCGATGAGGTCATTGGAGGCAAAGGCATTGGGCTTGTTAATATGATGGGTAGAGAGCAAGTAGGGGATTTGTGTGCAAGTTGAAAGTAGAGGGACGAAGGAGGAAGAGGGTAGATCACATATTTCAGTTTTCAAAGTTGTTTTTTGTGTGTATATCTTATTTAGACTTTAAAAATAATAGGTTGTTAGATATTAGTCCGATCAATAATTGTGTATTAATACCTCAACTGTTGAAAATTGCATATCAATTCCTCAAATCCTCTAGGGTCTACAAAATGTCATTCTAATTAGTTGGAAGCAAAGTGACCATTTTACCCTTTTATTATATTCCCAAACTCATTTTTTAATGGGTTTAAACTACAATAGTTGCTTAAAAAATATCCAAACCCACTCGAGTTCTTTAGTTCTTCTACAATAATTAGAAGAGAACCCTTCAAAAGTTGAGCTTCATAAATGTATGAAACACTAAAGAGGAGGGTACTTTGGTGATTATAGATGTTGGGTTAGGAGTTAAAGTATGAAACACTAAAGAGGAGGGTACTTTGGTGATTATAGATGTTGGGTTAAAAGTTAACCTATCTTTGGTTAGGATTTTTAATTGAAAAATAACAGAATTACTAGACTCTATAAGATTTAAGGGACTAATATGTAATTTTCTAGATTTGAGGGACTAATATATAATACCCTTCAAAAGTTGAGCTTCATAAATGTATGAAACACTAAAGAGGAGGGTACTTTGGTGATTATAGATATTGGTTTAGGAGTTAAAGTATGAAACACTAAAGAGGAGGGTACTTTGGTGATTATAGCTGTTGGGTTAGGAGTTAACCTCTCTTTGGTTAGGATTTTTAACTGAAAAATAACATAATTACTAGACTCTATAAGATTTAAGGGACTAATATGTAATTTTCTAGATTTGAGGGACTAATATATAATTATTGAATATTTAAGGGACTGATATCTAAAAACCCAAAAATAATTTATCTCCCCCCCCCACCCCACCACCCAAAAAAACCATTTTTTAAACATGATTGTAAAGTATTTGAGTTTAAAGATGAAAATATAAAAAACTTTTCAGTTTCTTTTTATGCTATCTTTTACCTTTTTTGGTTAATTTAAATAAGCCCCTAAAGTTTTTTTTATCTCAAGCAATCTTTCTAGACTTGAGGGTGTCCCAAAAGGCTTAATTACACTTAAAAGTATTAAACAATGTAGAAACAAAGACCTAACTAAACAAAGAAGACAAACTAAGAAGAGTTTTTACATGAAAATCATCTTAACTTTTGCGCAAATTATAACTTACCATATTTATTTATTTATTTTTAATATAAACCATCTTAATTTGCTCACATGTTCTCAATATCATACTTTTTGGTATTTTCTGTTTTAGAAAAGTGTGAAATTACTATAATATCCTTCGATCTAACCCAAAAGAAAAAAAGGAGAGGAGAAGAAGAAGGGGAGAGGGGAAGGAAAATTGGTAGGATTAGTAGCAAGAAATGAAGGGGAAAGAAGGTCACCAGGGAGAGTTGAGAGAGAGAGAGTAGGGGGAAGGAGGAGGAGGAGGCAAGGAAGAAGTTGAGGAAAGTGAGAATAGAGGAGGGGAGAAGGGAAGAGAGCTGGGGGATGAGAGTAGGAAAAAGGTTAGGGTTTGGAGAAATCCTAGAAATAAAGGAGATGATCGAAGAGGTGGGGGAGGACAGGGATGGTAAGAGGAGAAGAAAGTGAGAAGATGGTTAGACCATTGGTGGAAGGGGAGAAGAGGAGAAAAGAATATAGGGTTTGGAGATACCCTAGAGGTGGAGGAAATGGTGAAGGAGGTGAGGGAAGAAGAGAAGATAGAAAGGAGAAAGAGAATGAAAGGATGAGATGAGGGAGGACAGGAAGGGGGAGAGGGGGTCAAGGGGTGGGGAAGATAGGAGAGAAGGAAGAAGGTGGAGAGAGGAGAGGGTAAAGTGGGTATTTTAAAAAAATTTAGGTTGAATAGTGATGAATGTGTGATATTGAGAATATGTAAGTAAACCAATGTGATTTACAACAAAATAAATATATAGAGGTGGTTGTAGGCATTAAAAAATACCAAACTTCAAGATATGATGAAGGTCGTCATAGGGACGAACCTCATCTCAATCAAAGATGAGACGCGCCACTAGCGAGGATCCATATCAGAAACAAGGCTCGCCATGCAGCGAGGCTCGACGAAGCTCGTCATTGGAAATGAGGTTCAAAGCTCATCATTGGAGATGAGGCTCGTTAGTAAAGACAAAGCTCATCATCAGACTTAAAACTCGTCAGTGAAGATGAAGCTCGTCAAAAGGAAATTCACAAGACTTGTTACACAGTTGGACTTAACTATTGAAGACGAAGCTCGTCAGATGAAGTTAGTGGATACAAAGTTCGCTATACTGCAAAGCTAGCCTTATAAGACGAACCTCATTGTATATTGAGGCCTGTCCAATCTGACGAACCTCGCCATACAATGAGGCTCGACATTTGTAAAAGATCCAACTGTAACGGATTTGGAGGCTTAGTTAGCCACGTGGGCTAAGCATCAGGAGCATGTTACGCCCCATTAACCAACATGGGCTAAATTGAAAGAGGCAGTTACGCCCACTACCCATAATTCTAGCATGTCAGTTACGTGTTATGAACTCTATAAATAGTCATGAACGGCTATGAAGAATGGACTTTAGGAGGATTTTTAGCTATCACGTGAAGAGAGATCAACGTCTGCATTCTTGTGATCTAAGCCACCATCAGAAGATTTTGTGATCTTGATCTGATCGTCAACGGGAAGCAGTCTCAACTTGAGAATTGAGAGAAGTATCCTTTCGCCACCAAGAACCCACTTTTAAACAAAAGAGAAGTCAAATCTATCTTCTCTTCCTCTGTAATCGAGAGTGAGTGATTGTAAGGGATTCGTACTAAGCGATCGAACCCATTCTTAAAACAAAGAATTCAATCATAAAATTTTCGACCCTACAGATGATGGCGATCATAGTAGGAGAAGTCATTCTTTCTAACGAACTGATGGTGGTTCAGTTAGAAAAGATTGCATTAGGAACCAAGGTTAAAACTCTAGTCATAGAGTTCGACCAGACAAAGTATGAGGAGTTTCTTTCCTCTGGTAAGTCCAGTCCCACTAAGGCACGAAAGTGTCGTCGAGTCTCTTATGAGACTTCAGCCCATGTGGCTTCTGATGATTCAACTCGAGTTAACCTCAAGGAAAAGTCTATGCCTCTCAAGGATGAGGCTCTAGCAACTAGCCGTCAGGCTAAGAAATGAGTTGTCAAACACCCTAGTCGAACTTCGGCTTTTGTTAACCAACGTGGCCAAAACCTGGCTACTCTTGACAAACCTCACCCAGTTTTGGCTGAGGTAGTAACTTATGTTGGTCCACTTTCACGATGTACACGACAATGTCAACGTCAAAACCAAGCTCGCCATAGGGCTCGAGCTTTGGTCTCGTTGGACGGTTTCCACTATCGACCGAAAGTTGACCAATCCAAGTTTAATAAGTCTGTCGATGGTCAACTGGCCGAGGAACGTCAAAATGACGAATCTCGTCCCTACACCCAAGCAGACTTGGAGAAAGAACCTCTTCCTCAGGGTGAGGTTCAATCAATTTAACAAGTTGTTCACACCGAGGTTCATCAAGAGAAAAAACCTCAAGTTAAGAACCGACCAAGAAGGCGAATGCGCCAAGCTCGTCCTATTGATGAACCTCGTCACAAACATATGAATAACGAAGTTCATCCAGCTACCCCAGTTCGTCAACCTCTATCATGTAGAGGGTCTCGCTCGGGTAAAACTAAGTCGACAGAGCCAGCTGGAGGTAGTCCTACTGTTGACCTCCGTGATTATCTCACACACAAACGTAACATGAGTCAGATGCAATCTCATTGCTGCTATGAGAATCTTATATCTGTAATGCTTTTCCAATGCTCATGTGGGGAATCAGCACACAAGTCTTTAGTTTTTGAACGATTGACTAAGACATCGATGATTTTGTCATCTAGAAGGAGGTGTTTTCATCCAAAGAAACACGCACCCAAGAATCGCCACATTAAAGTGACGATTAATATGGTTGGCAAGGGTAAGAATAAAGTCTCAGCTGATTCGTCAGAATCTTTTGATCCTGAGTACTCTCCAGGTCTAGGTGAAATGCTAGTTGATGGACAAGGGGTGTATCGACACACTCGTACTCATACTAGTGTAGTGATCCTACTAGATTACTGATGATTAGCAGGCATTACAAACGAGGCTGACGAAGAACCTGAAAACTC